AAAATAAGGAGTACCGTATTATGTATCTTGTGATATAGTTTCTGTGTACCAACATTGAAGAATATTGGTCACTGCATGCCAGAGAACCATATAGAAACATAGTGACACTACAAAATTGCCATCAGCAGGAAATCTTGAATCAGATCATAAATACAGAACAATCCAGAGAATGAAAAGTGATATAAAAAAACAAAAGTATTAAAATTGCATTATCCTACGTTGTTAATACATCTTTTATCTGGCAGCATTATTTGTTTGCCTGATATCTCTTTCAAATTATTAATCTCAGCTTGTTCGTTTTCACATATTGGACATGAACTTTCTAATATTTTTTTTATATAATTGTCTTGATTTAAAATTGTAATACATGTGCGTATTCTAAGTTTGTCATGGCTGATCGATGAGATGGATTATTTGTAAAGTAAGTTTGAGGTAAAAAATCACTGTCACAACTTGACTTGCGCAACTTGGTGATGTCACGGCACAACTTGGTGATTTCCACATGTGAAAGTGCTGTGGTAGTTGATCACCTATAATACTTTACTCTCAGAGTAAAGATGGCTATAAAAACAAACTAGCAAGTAGGCATCATACTTGGAGATGTTATGATTTCTCTTGCAAGTGTAGTTTTTGTGCCAAAAAAAAGAAAACTCTACTTCAAGGCATTCAAACTTAATGAGATTCCCCAGCACCTGATGGTTATGCTTTGGTAGCAGTGAAAAAATACACTCTGGTGATGATTCGGTCATATAGTGACAATGTGAGGCAAAATAATTAGCATGTCTGCCCATCGTAAGGGAGATTGTGGATTCTACTCCTATGGTTGGCTGCACACCAAGCAGCAGAAAAAAAAAAGGTACATTCTGCTCAATTGTCAGGCTCACGTCATTCGTTTTTGAGAGAATTGAGTCTTTTCGAAGGGGGAAGATGGAAGATTTCCGAGAGACAACGCATTCCTCTCAATTACATGCACAATACTTGAGTTGTGTCACCCCTCATTTCAGAGTCTGTAATTGAGACTGGTCTGTTGACCAAAAACGATTATACGAGTGAGTAATATAAGATAAATGCAAGATACTACATTCATGTTATTCAGTTCAGAAACTCTAGAAATTCAAATCACATGAGAAGTGAAGTCACCATTCCTTGATGCTTGTTTTTAACCAACATTGAACTATCCTAATCCTTACTGCTGTAACAATACAGAGTATTAAAATCTATAAAATAATAATACAATGTAAACATATAGACAATATGGCTCCAATAGATGTACAAGTACGGCAACACCAGTTCCGCCCCCCCCAAAAGTCTCCCTTATAATTCATAACTTAACTTATTACGCACTAATACAGTGAAACCCATTGCATTCTAATCCAAGACGCACAAGCATAGTCCAATGGAAGTGAATACTATTTATTTCCCTTGCTAGAAATGTTCATGACTTGATAGCATTATTGACAACAAAATTTTAGGAAAGAAATTTTCACGATTTCATGAACATGTATTTCATGAAACTAAAGCAGCTAACAGTATGATCCCAGCATGACGGTATGACCCCAGCATGACGGTATGACCCCAGCATGATGATATTAATGTGTAGCAGTTGTAATAACAATCAAAATCAACTTTACCGAGTAATACAAATAAAACTCATGGTTACTGCTTGTCGTATAAAATTTAAAAAATAACAATACTGTGAAGATAACAATATTTTAATCAAACATGCTCCTGCTGACACAGTACATACTTGCTATTGCACTTTTACAAGGTTATTTTATAGCTTGGCACAAATGGTGTGCATAGATCAATTCTAAAACTATAAATGGACATTAAACTTTATGATCGATTCAATTCATTTGAGCCAACTGAGAAGACAAATAGCTAATTAATAAGCAAGCATCTAAATTCAGATACATTTTTATTAAGTAATTTCAACTGATTTGAGCACATTGTTAAAATACAAGAGAAACAAAAACTGATGCTTATTATTGGCACAACAAACTTATTCTATTTATTGCAATAAATGTAATGTCAATGTTAATTTATCAGCCAATAGAAACCTCTCATTAAATTGTGAAATTTAAAATAAGAGAAACACGTCTGTTGTGTTTATAGTAGTATTCTCATTAATTAGAAATTATTATTAGACATTATTATAATAATAGACACTACCAATTATTAAAATGACACATTTACATTGGTATTGTGAAGAATCAGGTTTGTAACCCACCTTAAAATACACTGGTAACCTTTGATCAAAATATGACAGTGGATGTTATGGTAACCAAAATTGAATGATTGCTTTATTCTCAGCTCACCTAAATTAAGCATAAGATCTCAATGACGGCTGTTCAGGTTTGATC